AGGCGAGGGGGGGGGGGGGGTGTCTTTTGAACACCCCAAATCCTGACTAGCAGATTTCTCTCATATTGCCCTAACCAAAGGTTCATTAAAATGAAACACCCAAACCCTGAAACCACGGGTGTGATGCTACTATCACTCCAGAAATTTTTGTGGTCAGTCTTTTAGGGTCAGGTTGCCAGCCACTGCATTCTGTTCTAGGGAAAAACACACTGCCCTAGTCTACTTCTTGTAGCTCACCAAGGGTTTTTCCATTATTAAAATGGCTACTCAATTTGTAGTTGCATGCAAAACAAAATCTGTTTTTAACATGCTATCAGCACTGTGTGTGATAGGCATTAGCAGGGTGCTTGTAATATGTATTCCCTAGTATTTTCGGTACAGGTATCCTAAACCCAAGGGCTTGATATTTATGCCAAAGTTACCCTATTTGTACATTTTAATAACGAAAAGTTTATTTTAATGACCCGTTAAGTAACTCTGAGTCAGAAGTATGGTTATAATGCTCTTGTACTCTAATGATGTTTACAAGACTTGTGATAATAACTTAGTCCTGTCACTCCTGAAACAGGAGAAGGTATCCAGTTTCTATCAGTCTGAATCTCTACCCATAAGCTTCACTTTTTTCTGTTACCTTTTAAAAGTTTATACATGCCCGTTTTAATCTTGTTACAGTTAGATGGTTACAATTTTAAAACCATAAAAAAACCTATACGGAATAAGATTTTTCTCTTTATGAAAACTATAAACCAGGATTTAATCCCTAAGGGATTTTCCTTAATAGAGAGATGTAATATTAGAACCATACATAGGAATAGGGGTGAGAAACTCTGCCGTTTGCAAGAGACAGACGGACACAGTGTCAGTCTGTTGATCTCTGTCCCAGCTGTAATAGCTTTTATGTGTATAAAGAAGAACATGCAATACTTAAATTTCAGATTCTGTTGAATATTGGATATTTTAGGTTTCTAATGCCTTCTGTTTTATATGTGTCTCCCTATGGTTCATTACCCTGATACGACCTGCTCTGTAAAGAGAGTTCAGCCCACAAAGCATTTAAAAAATATTTTTGGGATGTAGATACATGTGTATTAGAGCAAGTTCTAGTTTTTTGCAAGATTACTGTTTACAGAGTGGACTTTTCTGTTTGGGAATAGACTTCACAGTTGCTATCTTTGGGCCCTAGTCACATATTGATGTTGTTTTTTCTTTGCAACCATGTACTCTTCAAATTTTTAAACTGTAAAAATACCTATGTAATCCAATACATATAAAACACAACACTGTCTTTACCTGTGTAAGACAAGGTTTGGAAATATGTAAATTTTTGTGTTAATTTCTTTTTTTACATCAATGTATGTCTTCCTAAAGTGGATAAACTTTCAATGCCAATTCACCTGATTTTGTGCAGTTTTCTTTAACCTCACAGGTGTGTGTTTTAAGGCTTTTGGTTGAGGTTGTGTTAAATCGTGTTTTGATTCTTACAACTGTGAAGTTACAATTAGTTTTCCCCTTCAGAAGCAAATCTTGATGTAAGCAACCTTATCAGGAACTGGGTGTTCTGGTCATCAGACAGTGTGACTGGCAGTGGAAATGGCCTATTTTCCATTTCCTTCGAAGTTTGTTGAGTACAGGGTTGAGGACTGAAGCATTTTTATCAATGGACATGAAATGCAAATACAACCATAATGGAGACAGCAGCACGGATGAAGAGGAATGTTTGAGCAAGAAAGCCAAATCTCCGGCGGTGCTGCTGGGGAAAGAGGACCTTCCCATTTCCCAGCACCTCCTAGCCCTTCTGCTGAGAAACGCCAGCATAACCTGGTAGGTTTACACCTGTAGGCTTACAGCCTGGTAGGCGTACACCTCCTGCCATCTCCAGAATTCAAGGTAGGAGGTATAGCTAAGGGAGCGCTAGGTAATCCCCTCATCCCTCCAGAAACAGGAGGAAGGGTTCCAAGCAAATCTGCAGTCACTTAACACTCTCTCTTCCAACTCATCTTGCTCCTACATCCTCCTTTGTTCTGTTTTGTGCAGAATTAGAGGAAGCTACACCCCTGGTGTTTGCAGGGAGGAAAGGCACCGCTAGAAGGCATGGCTCATAGTCTGTCTCCTTCACCTTGTACTCACCTGACTCCTCTTTCCTTGCATCTACAACCTGCTGCAAGCTCCCGAGCTTTAACAGACCTTGTGGAGAGGTGTCAAAACAGTATTTGGTATGCCAAAACAATGCAGTTTGTGGGTTTGGGAATATGCAAGTCAAAATAATTGATACTGGCTTGAAAAAAAGCCTGCCTCTTGTATCTAAACTTCCGAGAAGTGTTAACAGGTGATACTGGGGGAGATTGCTTTTCTAGGGGAAAAAATAGAGTGCCTTTGAAAATAAACACTTCAACAGGGGCCTGTCAGTCAATGGGCAGCGTATGCTAAGAAGTGAACCAGTACCAGACCGTTTCCCTGACAGTAAAGGTGCTTTGTGCCAGCAGGCAGGCATTCCCTGCTTCCAAACTTCAGCTCTCACCAGAACGTAAACAAGCAGCGAGAGCAGTTGTGGTCTCTGGTGCCTCATGCTCTGGGGAGCTCAAAATCCCACTGGAGACTTCTGAAGCTTTAACGTGGTTAGTCTGGATCTGGGGACACGGGCTGATTTTCTTCTTCCCTGCAGGGTTCCAAGACGAAGGAATACAGCTGCTAAGGGGGCCTGGAAGTCATTTGGGTAGACATCAACCCTGCCTGACTTTGGAAGGAAGCTGGAACTTAAGTTTCAAAGACCTGGCCCATCAAGTTTCCGCCTGATGTTGAGGTTTAAGACGTCTTTCAGCTCCTCTTTCTCATGTAAGTAGCAACGTCATTTAGCAAAATTACTCCTCTTTAACGTGCTTAACCCTAGCTGACAGCAAAATTAATTACATTTCATATTTCTGTGTTGATTTTTAAAATATACTTTGAGGTAGAATTTACGTGATGGCCATCTGACTACCACCTAAATTACCTACCTCGTGAAGCATTAAAGAGTTGTTGTGAACATGAAATACTTCACCTAGCAGCAAGCAAATCACGTGATGTTGCCACAGTTTCTATCTCACTCAGTAGTCAACTCCTCAAGCCAAGGAATTGTTTTCTCTAGCAGGGGAGTGCTTGAGATGACCATGATTACAACCCCTTAAATAGCGGAGGTCACACTTTTACTGTAAATACTCCAAGTACCAAAATACTAAACAAGGCTTCAGAGTAGATGGCATGTGAGCTCACTTTAAACCTGGATGACGTTCAGTGGTCTTAGGGCACGTAGTAATTCTTGTAGCATAGCCAGCCCTAAAATCTACTCCTTTGGGACTTCCATTCCTGTACCTTAATTTCAGGGTGGTCATTACTGTCCCTCATCTCTGCCTCCTTCCTTACTGCATCTAGTTACCGGGGAAGTATGTAAGCCAACCTCTCGGGTTCATGACGTGGCCCTCATAGGCATGTAACCTTCGAGACAGCGAAGAATCGTTTCTAATGTCGTTTTGCTCGCACATAACACTACTGAAGTTGATTTGTACAGAAACGACAGTAACGATAGTAACGATAACTGTTTGCAGGATTAGGTCTCTGGATACGTAAATTCAGAGAAAAGCATCTAACTCTTCTTTGGGTTACTTCTTCTGCCTTCTGACAACCACACTGACTCCCTCTGTGTACAATCTTGGCACGGCTGGCGCTTGTACTGGGATGCTGATGGGCACTTGAAAGCTTTCAAGGTCAGAATTTTCCACGGCCAGAGTCTTGCACCTGCACTGGAGGCTGGTGATGTGAAAGGGCAGCTGCAGCAGCATGGAAAGAAGAAAGGTCTATTCC